TGGCCATTCTGCCCTGATATTCCGCCAGGCGTAGCTGGGCCATTGCTCTTCTTTCTTCCAACAAGTCGAGGTTGAGGAGCAGCTCTTCCTCATTTGCTGTAGGCTCGTAATGCTCTACTCTGTCAGATGGCATGCCGATCTCAACCGGGACTACAGCTTCGGAGCCGAAGGCCAGGGAGAACGGGGTCTCACCCGTCGATTCTCTTTGGGTGGTCCGGTACGACCATAGAACCTCTGGTAGCTCCTCGGCCCACCTACCTTTCTTGGAGTCCAGTCTAAGTTTGATGCCTCGCTTAATGATCTTGTTCACTGCCTCCACCTGTCCATTTGCTTGCGGATGTGCGGGGGACGAGCTAAGGTGACTTATGCCAAGCTTGCTGCAAAAGTCTTTGAACTTCGCGTTGTCAAACTGCTTCCCATTGTCTGTCACAATGGCCTACGGTATACCAAAGCGACATATGATATTTGTCCATACGAAGGACGTGACTCTGGATTCCGTTATGTGGGAGAGCGCCTCGGCCTCGGCCCACTTTGTGAAGTAATCCACAGCAACCACAGCGAACTTGGTCTGGCCCTTGCCCAAAGGGAAAGGACCAATGATATCTACCCCCCACTGCGCGAATGGCCACGGGGCCGAGATGGGGGTGAGCAGCTTGGGAGGTTGGTGGATTATGGTTCCGTAGCGTTGGCAATTGTCGCAAGTTCTAACGAACTTCTTGGCGTCCTGGCTGAGGGTCGGCCAATAGTATCCTTGTCGGATCACTTTGGCTGACAGCGACCGGACGCCTGAGTGATTGCCGCACAATTCTTCGTGGATTTCTCTGAGGACGTACAGGCCCTCTTCAGGGGTTAGCCATCTCAATACAGGCAGAAAAAGCCGCGTCGGTACAATGCTCCACCTCGGACCACGAACCGAGCTGCTCGCCTTGCCAACTTTCTGCGCTCCTTGGGGTCTTGTGGTGAATTGCCCCTAATGAAGTCCGCAATCGGGTCCATCCATGAGGACTCTGGAGCGCCGATCTCCATCAGATCTGGCTCTGAGATCGAGGGATTATCTAAGATCTCGACGGGGACCGACCTGGCCAGGTCGGTCTAGTACGCCGATGCTAACTTGGCCAAGGCGTCAACATTAGAATTTTCTGCTCGGGGAACCCGGCTTACTTCGTAAGTTCGAAACTGGGCGAGGTACGATCTGACCTTGCCCAAATACTTCTCCATTCGGGAGTCTTTGGCTTGGTACTCTTCCTTGATCTGGCTCACAACCAGCTGGGAATCGCTGAAGACCTTAACACAAGAGGCCCCCAATGCTCTAGCGATTCGCAGACCGGCAATAAAGGCTTCATACTCAGCCTCGTTGTTAGAAGTCTGGAAGCCGAACCGCAAGGCATACTCAAATCGCTCGCCTCCTGGTCCGAGCAAGAGGACCCCGGCCCCGCACCCCTTCTCATTGGAGGATCCGTCGACATAGATTGTCCACGGTAGGTCGGACTCGCTCAGCTCGGAAGGCGGTGTGAGCTCGGCTATGAAATCTGCCGCTGCTTGTCCTTTCAACGCAGTTCTGGGTTCGAACTGGATGTCGTACTCACTTAGCTCCATTGCCCACTTCATCAGGYGTCCAGAAGCTTCTGGCTTATGGAAGATGTTTTTTAGGGGCAAGTTAGTGAGCACCACCACAGTATGGGCTTGGAAGTATGGTCTAAGCCGT